GAAGCGGAAGACATGCCCTGAGTGCGGGAAGAGCTTTGTCTGGAGCTCGCACCTGGCTCAGCACCGGCGCATGCACACCGGGGAGCGGCCGTTCCAGTGCGGTGAGTGCGGCAAGAGCTTCAGCCGCAGCTCCAACCTAGTGAAGCACCAGGGCACCCACACCGGCGAACGCCCCTACCGCTGCCCAGACTGCGGCCGTGGTTTCACCGACTCCTCCAACCTGGCCGCTCACCTGCGCGGCCATGCCGGCCACAAGCCCCACCGCTGCCCCCAGTGTGGGAAGGGCTTTGCCCGGCGCTCCCACATCGCCACGCACAGGCGCATCCACACCGGCGAGCGCCCCTTCTCCTGCCCCGACTGTGGCAAGGCCTTCGCCCAGCGCTCCGACCTGGTGGCCCACCGCCGCACCCACACCGGGGAGCGCCCCTACCAGTGCACTGTGTGCGGCAAGCGCTTTGGCATGAGCTCCACCCTGACGGTGCACTGGCGCACCCACACTGGTGAGAAACCCTACCGCTGCCACCAGTGCGGCAAAGGCTTCACCCAGAACTCGGGCTTCCTCATCCACCAGCGGCTGCACGCCGGAGACAAGCCCTACAAGTGCGGACAATGCGGCAAGGCCTTCAGCGTCAGCTCCGATCTCCTCGCCCACCGGAGGGGCCATGACGCTGGGGCTGCGGCCCACAAGTGCCCTGACTGCGGGGCTGGCTTCGGTGCTAGCACTGAACTCCTGAACCACCAAAGCAGTGCCCACGGGGAGGAGATGCCACACCGGTGCGCAGCTTGTGGGAAAGGCTTCCGGCTCCGCGCTGCCCTCGGCAGGCACCAGAGGACTCACAGCCAGCAGAGATCGCACAGCTGCTGCCAGTGTGGGAAAAACTTCCTGCACAGTTCGTCCCTCAGCGCCCACCTGAAGACCCACACTGGGGAGAAGCCCTTCAAATGCACCCAGTGCGGGAAGGACTTCCGCCAGAGTTCGGCCCTGATCAGACACCAGAGGACTCACACGGGCTAGGGACTGGCCACGGCTCACCCTTGGGGGTCAGGGACCGGCTTGGAGAGCAAGAGGAGCAGAGGACGGGGGTCAGATTGGGGTGGACGCTGGGAAGGTGGGGATGGGCTCTGGGGGAGGGACCTAGCACCTAGATGGAGAGTTTGGGGGCGGGGACTAGGATGGGAAGGAGCTGGGTCGTGGGGGCAGGAGGGTCAAGTGAAGTAAAGCATGGAGTCTGATTGGCATCCCCGGAGAGTATCACACACGTCAGGGCAAAGCTTGCCGGTGGCACAAAAGTGAGTGGGTGGGGGCAGAGCTGGCTCATGGATCTCACCCCCATGCTCTGGGTCTAACTTTTCGCCATATTTGGGGTCAGGAGGGAGTCCCGCCCCCCCCCCCCGGGTCAGACTGGCAGAGAGCCTGGGTGTTTTTCGCTTCCTCTGCAGCATGGGGCGTACGTCACTTGCAGGTTTGAACTACAGTAAATGCTGGATTCTCTGTCTCTTGAAGTCTTTACATCATAATTTGAGAACTTCAGTAACTCAGCCAGCAGTTACGGGTCTGTTACGGGAGTGGATGGGGGAGTTTTTGTGGCCTGCAACATGGAGGAGGTCAGACTAGATGATCATGATGGTCCCTTGTGGCCTTTAAGTCTATGAGGAATCGGGGTCAGTTGAGATCATTCGAACAAGGTGCTTTTTAATACAGCCAAATGCAAGGTCATCTTTCTAGGCCCGAGGAATGCAGGCCAGACTGGCAGAATGCGGACTGGCAGAAAGCAGAGGCCACAATAGGCAAATCCACTCTGCAGTGCTGTGGTTAAGAGGGTAGCTTGCTCCTGGGCTGTGTGAGCAGGGAAATACCGAGTCAGTGGAGAAGGCGTGTTCCTACTGCATGCGGCACTGGGGAGACGATTCCTGGATCCTGTGTCCGATCCTGGGGTCCACACTTCAAAAGACAGCCCATGTCCAGTGAAAGGAAATGCCCTTTGCCGTGCCCTGTGGAACTCATTGCCAAGTCCAAGAACCAAACATGTCTCTGAAGGGATTGGGGGCAGATGGAAAGAGGGCGCTTCACACCTGCAGAGGAGCCGCGCTTCGGTGTCCAGATGGGAAGCAAGAACGTTCACAGTCACTAGTCACTCCTGGTTCCACCTCACGCCGGGAGCCAAACTCGGACTGGGAGCAAACCAGCTCCTCCCACAACTGCCCACTGCAGGCCTCACGCCCCTCCCTCTGGACGGGCTGCTCCTGGGCACTGTCAGAGCTGGGACACCGGCTAGAGGGGCCCCTGGGCTGATCCAGGGTTCATGTTGCCCCCACAGATGGTGAGCTCTTGAGAGCTGGTGCTTTCTCTTTGTTCTGTGTTCGTCCGGCGCCCAGCACAATGGGCACCTGGCCTATAGGCCCCACCATAACTCAAATAAACAATAACAACCCAGCTTGGCAGTGGAGGGGGAGTGGGGGCGGGGGCACTGCAGTGAAGGACTTCAGCTATTGGGGATGGTAGAGTTGGGAAGGAGCTGACTGTCTTGGGGGCAGGGAATGTGATATGGGGCCTTTCCCCTGGGGGGGGGGTGCTTCCTTCACTCACTGGACTGAGACCAGCTTTTGTGGCTGCAGAATCCAGTTTACTCAGACACAATGGCTGCCACAAACATACAGCCCTCACACCGTCTGTCTGCGCAGTCAGACTTGTGCTTCTGTCTTGCCTAAAACCCTATGGACCAATGGAGTGCGCCCACGCACACCTAGGAACAAGGGCCCAACGGGGCGCTGCAGACCCACCCGCACACAAACTCCCTCAGCCATACTCACAGCAGGAGTGAATTGTGGGAGTTCAGTCCTTGCCTCCCATCATGCCCCAGGAGGATGGGGGCAGGTTTTCCCACAGTGCCTAATGCTCCCAGGAGCAACTCTGTTCTGGGAATCCTGCCGGGAGGTGGGGGTGGGGCTTGTTCCCCAGTAATTGCTGTGGGGATGGGCAGAGGGTGCAGGGCATAGGACGCATGGTGGAGGGCACAGGGGGCGCAGGGCAGAAAGGCGCAGCAGGATGAAGGGTAGAAAGCGGCTATGGGACAGAGTTGGGGGGCTGAGGAGGGGGGGCAGAGGCATGAAGAGTCAGGAGGCAGAGAAGGGTGCAGGAGGAGGAAGGGGGATGGGGCACAGGAGCGTGGGGGGAGGGATGTGGGATGGAGGCCAGTGGAGCTATGGGAGGGAACTAAAGGGTGGAGGAGGCAGAGGGGTGCAAAGGTGGCCCATGCTAGCTCCCCGCAAGGCAAGTTTGTCCAATGAGAGTCAAGCATTGTGAGTGCAAACAAACCCTAAGAGGGAAACCTGGAACAAAATAAACCCCATGACTCCAAACATAAAATCTGGGGGCTTGGTTTTTAAAAACCACTAAAAACTGAAAAATGTCATCAAAAATCAATGTTCTAGGGGTCTCTAGTTCCCAGAGGACTCTGAGCCGTGTAGATTTAACCCCTGATTATCAGAGCCCTTGAGCAGCAGGATTCAGCCTCCTGGGCACAGTGCATGAAACCCATCCCCTCAGAGCAACTGTCTCAGGCTCTCGCCAGACTCAGGCAGGGCCAGCGTCTGTGCAGTGCCCTGCACAACAGGACCCCCATTCTGGTTGGATTCACAGTAATAATAATGGGCTCTTGATGGATCCCTCCTGTGATCCCAGACATTGTCCCTGCCCGGATGGCCTCCCAGTCTAGTTTTGGAGTCAAGTCCCGGAGTGTAGCACCAGCAGTGCAGCCAATATGGGGGCTTTAGGGTGGGTTTCTCCCCAAACTGTCCTTAGTTAGGAGGACGATGAGCTCTGGGTTCTGAATAACTCCCGTTTTAGTTCCCAAGGGTTTGAATCACAAGATGGTGCTGCCCCACGGGGCTGTTCATAGAATCATAGAATATCAGGGTTGGAAGAGACCTCAGGAGGTCATCTAGTCCAATCCCCAACTAAATCATCCCATCCAGGGCTTTGTCAAGCCTGACCTTAAAAACCTCTAAGGAAGGAGATTCCACCACCTCCCTAGGTAACCTTCCAGTGCTTCACCACCCTGGCGGGGGTGGGGTGGAGAGGTCAGTAACTCACAACGTGCCTCATCTTTACATTCAGTTTATTCTAAAAAAAATGGTCCTGACCAACCCAACCCAGCAGAGCGAGGGCTCTTTGGGGGAGGGGGAGCGAGGACATCCCACCAGGGGGCAGAGACTGAGGCCCAAACAGTGCGGGTGAGCCCGTCCCACTGAGCAACCAGGCCCGGCCCTGCCACCTCTGCCCCTCTTGGTCTCAGCTCCGAGGTGTTGGTAGGTGAGGGAGGTGCACAGGGCTGGATGGGTGTTCTATGGGAGCATGTATACACACACTTACCGAGGCAGGCCCCCCTCGGCCCTGAGAGCTGGGGGAGGGGAGGGGAGCTGGCTGGCATACCTCATCTCCCTGCCCCCCACCCCCGCTGCTGCTAGGGTGAGGGAGCCCCCCAACTCCAACAGCCTTGAGCGGTTCCCAGCTACTGGACGATTAGGGGGGTGTTGGTGTGATGGGGCAGGAGCCACTGTCCCACCCAGAGGCCCTGTCAGGGACACTGCCCACCCCCGTGCCATTCCCCAGCCCGTCAGGCCTGCTTCCCCCCCTCACACCGTGGGGCAAATCCTGAGGCTGGTACCGGGGCACATGAGCCAGAAGAAGGGGTAGAGCGGCTCGGGGAAGGGGGCGCCAGTGGCAAAGGAGAAGATGGGTTCCATGCCCTCGGCCTCATAGAAGGTGATGCTCCCGCCGTCACAGTCCAGGAAGATGCCCAGGAGCTGGGGGCTGCGGCTCGGGGACAGTCTGGTCTCGGGGCAGATGAGGGCGTGGTACTGGCCCCTGATGAGGCGCACAGCCCAGATGCCCTCCTCCTGCTCCATGCTGAACCAGCCCTTCCTGCGCAGCGAGCCCCGCGCTACGCCCAGCGTCCAGTAGGCCTTGTCGCCCGCCTCCACCTCCACCTCCCAGTAGTGCCGTCCTGTCCGCAGCCCCGCCGCGCCCAGCACACAGCGGTACGTGTCAAAACGCTTGGTGTGGGACGGGATGTCCCGCTGCGGCTCCCCCAGCCGCACGCCCCGACGGTCCTTGGACAGCTCCAGGCACACGTGGGCTGTCTCGGGATCCAGAGTCACGTCCGCTGTATGGAGAGATGAGAGAGTCAGACCAGCACTGTCAGACCAGCCTGCAGCCAACACTCCATGATCCAGGGACCACATGGCCCCACCCACGGGCCCTGGCTGCACCTCTGCCCTGTGGCCACGCCTCCAGAATATAGCCCCACACCACACATGGTCCCACCCCCAAAACGGAGCTCCATCCTCTGTATCACGGCCACGTCCCTGTGTAACCCACACACCTCCTGGGTGTGGTGCTCTGTCCAAGCTAGTGGCACCAAGCCCACTTAGAGATTAATGAGTCTGCTACAACCTTAGCTAAGGGGCAGGTGGCTTTTAGCTCATGCAGTAGAGGATCATGCATTTAGCTCCAGCGGTCGCAGGTTTGATCCCATCTCTGGACCACGGCTCCCAGAATGTAGCCTCATCCCATGCTGTGACTCTACCCCTCACTACGGCCCCAAGCCCACACATCATGGCTTCCCATTTCAGCACTGTGGGCCTACCTCCCCTCATGTACAAATCACGCCCTCCCTACCTGCACAGAGATCTAAGGCCAGAAGGGATAACTGTGACAATCTGGCCTGATCTCCAGTGTAACACAGAGCAGATCTTTTAGAGGAAAAAAAAACCCATCCAAACTTGAATTAAAAATGGCCAATGATGGAGAATCCACCACAGTCATTGGTAAGTTGTTCCAGTAGCTACTCACCCTCGCTGTTAAGAAGTCACACTGTATTTACAGTCTGAGTTTGTCTAGCTTCAACTAGCAGCCACTGGATCTTGTTAGACTTTCGTCTGCTAGCTTGAAGAGGCCTCTATTATTAAATATTTGTTCCCCATGGAAGTACTTATAGACTGTGATCAAGTCACCCCTGAACTTTCTCTTTGTTAAGCTAAATAGACTGAGCTCCTTGAGTCTCTCACTAGAAGG